CTGCAATTACTGCAGATAATTCTGCTAAAGTAGAAGAAGGAAAATCCAAGAGAAAAGAAACGTTAAAAGAGGTTATTGACTAATTAGGATCAGTTTGTAACTATGCAATTTACATATAATAAGACAGAAGGTCCAGATCTGAAAGAAAAACATCTGTGTATAATTGGAAGTTAGAAGCATTAGTAAATAAATCTTTTTTTGATTGTAAAGCAACTAAATTATTTGAATTAAAGGAGGCATTATTAAAAATAAGATAAACAGATGTAGGAGAAAAGTAAAAAGTAAGCTTGCTAAGTGCTATGTCCTGTAATATGAAAGGTAAAAGACTGGTACAAAGACCTAAATGTTTTCTATGATTCACAGTAATATGACTACAAAATTTCTTTGGAATAATAATTTATAAGAAAGTTGTTTAATGAAAGCGAGGTCTATATTATACTTATATAGTTAGTATTGATTATAGAAGATTATGATCGTAAGCAAACGATAGTCATATTCTGAAGCAAAGTGTTAAAATATGAAGGAATCATCATTGCTTCTAACTATTTTTCCTATAAAAAAGCTTTGATACATATTATGCCAAATTAAAACAAATGGTAGTTGATAGTTTGAAGTATAACGTTTATTGTTTTATTAAAAAATTTTTGAAAAATGTTGTAGAATTAGTGAGATTAAATTTCGACTAATATGATCTGTGATCAGATTATTTTTAAGTGTTTTAAATCACCTGGAAAACACATCAGTTGTTATCTTTTGCTAAACATTGAGATCATTGAAGATATATTAATAATTTCCACAACTGATTATTACTTGTTTAGCGAATATTAAGCCTTTCAGTTTTAAACTATCCTTGATTTTTTTATAAATTTTTATAGGTAACAAATCAATTAATCTTGTAGTTTCGCTAATAAAATCAACTCATATTATTACTCATATTTTTTTTAAAATATAGATTTTTTACGTGTTACGTTACAAATTTTAAATTCAAGTTTTCTAATACTTTCTAATTCAATTCCAATTTATAATTGGTTAATGGATGAGATTAAAGGTTTTTGCAAAATGAATACAAATGTAATAATAAATTCAACTTTAATTGCAATAGAAAAACTTAAAAAATATTATAATTGTACAGATTTTTTAGCTTATTACATTACTACAAGTATGTTATTTTTTTTATCTATATAAATAATTATCTTTTAAATTTTTATTAATTTTTTTTATTTAAAGTACTTGGTTTATGATTAAAACTTACATATTATAAAGAACATAAGTAAAAAATAAATATATTGATTATGCATGAAAAAAATTTATTGATTTATATAAAAATCATTATGCTCTTATTAAAAATGAAACATCTAATTTAGAAGAAGATTTTACAGATAATCTTTTATTACATATATATAAAAGACAACGTGTTAAAAATAAAAATAAAATTGAACAATATTTAGAAATCCACTTGCTTCTATAAAAACTAATATACTATAATGGTGAATGGTATGCTTTATTTATTATAAATTTAAATATTATTTTTTTTTGTTTTAATTAATTTTTGTTTATAGTCAAATGAAATATAATATCCATATTTATTAAAAATTGCTTATGATTATTTAGCAATTCCAGGTAAATATTTTTAAAATAATATATTTTAAAATTTATAATAATTTTAATTTAATTTATATTTTAGCAAAAAGTATATCTATAAAAAGAGTTTTCTCATTTAGTAACTTCAAAAAGATGTAGTTTATTAGCTGAAAGTATTCAGACTTGTATGTGTTTAAAAGCATGGTGAAAAAATATTTTATAATTATTTTAACTTTTTTTTAATAAAAATAATATATATTTTAACGTTATATTAGTTTATATTTTTAATAAATAAATTTTATTAATATAAATAATTGAATTTATTTTATTTAAATAAAATAAATGCTAATTAATTAAATTAAATTTTAAATTAAATAATATTAATTATAAAATTACTGATTAAATTAAAATTTTTTATTTATTTATAAATTTATTAATTTTAGATTTATAAATATAAATAATATTTATAATATTATTAAAATATAAATAATCATAAAGAATATTATTTATTATTAATATGATTAAATATTAAAGATTGTAATTGTAATTAAATTACATAAGTTGCAACTTTATAACATTTATTAAAGTTGAAACTATAAGTTACAATTATTTTTAAGTTCTAATATTTGTAACAGTTACAATCTAAATTATAATTGCAATTTATTATATAAGTTTTAAATAATTATTACTATAATTTAAAGTTCTAGATTACAAATTTTATAATAATTGTCTTAATATACTATATAAATTATAATTAGTTACAACTGGTTGCAATTATTATATAAGTTTTAATTAAATACAACTTTTTGTAATATGATTATATTATTTAGTATAGTAGTAACTTAATTATCATTACAATGATAATTCAAATTAAAATTATAACTGGTTATAATCAGTTCACAATTAGTCATATATTTTTATTTTTGATCATTTATTTTATTTTATTATTATAAAAATATTTTCACATTTTTTTATTTTTAATAAATTTTTACTTTATTATATTCATTTTTACCTTTTATTTTTTTTAAAAAAAAGGAATAAAGAAACTTTATTATTTCAAAATATTAATGATACAAATGATATAATTTCAAATTATTATACTAGATTATCTAATGAAACTAATAAATTACAAAAACAAAAAAGAGAATAAAAATTTACAGAAATTTGAAAATATATTAAGTGTAGAAAAAAAAATAAGTTCTGGTAATTATGAAATAACTTGTAATTATTGTGATAAATTTTAGATTGTAGCTAAACCTTTAAAATTAAAATTACATTTATCAAAAAATATTTTAAAATATTTAGAAGAAATAACATGAATTTTATAAATAAACTAGTAAAAAATGAAATAAAGATAATAAAGAACCTAAAAAAAAAAAATAATATAGAAGTGAAACAAACATTTAAATAACACTTAATTTTGAAGAAATGAAAATTAATGATCCAAAAATCCAAGAAATTGATAAGATTTTATTAAAAATATTTGTATATTATAACATAATATTTAATATTATAAAAATTCTTTTTTTATTAAATTGCTTAAAATTTTATAAGTTGATTTTAATCTACTATTAAGAAGAAAATTAGCTACAGAACTATTAAAAAGAAAGGTAATTCAGGTAAATTTGAAAGTTGAAAAAGTTTAAAAAATAAATTAAATTTAACATTATGGATAGATATCATCAACTGAATAATCTTTTTGAAATTTTGTAATATTGACTCTAACTTGATAAGTATATTTATATAAAATATAAGATTTATCTGAAGAAAAACATACATGAACTTTTTTAGCAAAAAAAATACTTAAAATAATGAATGCAATTGAAATTAAAAAGTTTGCTGCAAAAATTACTGATAATAGACCAAATGTAGTTATAATAGAAAATTTGATTACCAATTAATTTCCAAAAAATTTTTAATGCTAAATACATTACATATTGGTTTAATTTAATATCACATGATTTTTGAATCATAATTATGCTAATAAAATAATTAAATATTGTAATATCATTGTTAAATTTTTTAAAAAATCACACATTGATAATGATTTAATTAACAAATTTATTACAAAATACCAAATAATTGAAAGAGAGTTGAAAATGTTTGTTAAAACAATGTGGTTATCAATTGTTAAATGCATAAATTCAATATTACATTTAAAAAAAATGTCTTATTGAAGTAAGTAATAAATATATATTTAATTATTTTTTTTTTTTAGTTTTTAATTTTTATTTTAAAAAAATAGATTTATGAAAAGTATTCAAGTGAAATTAGTAATATAATTAAAAGAATAATTAATAAAAAAGGTTTTTTAATGATGTTAATACTCTAAATATTATTTTAATACTAATTAAAATAATTAAAAATGCTATTTTTAAGTTTCTATAAGAAATACAAATAAGAAAATGATATGTTTTTTATAAGGTTTATATATGTAATTAATGATTACGTATTAAAATTCCATATGTTTTATATTGATTTATTTTTTTATAATTTTTTAAAAAATTAATGTATACGGAATTATTAAGGAATTTAAAATAATGTATAAATTTTATGTAAATAAAAAATAACAAAAATAACAATATTATATATCTAATTAAATTTTTTTAATGCTTTAATTTTGTAAGACAATAAATTTTCCTTGAATTCTTCATCAAACTTAATAAAGTAAATATAATGCTGATAAAAACTTTTAGCCAACTAACAATTTTAAGTAAACTAGTTTAAACTGGATTTAATTCAGCTAAATTTTCAGCTGCAGGTTAAATCTCGTATTAAAAATCTGTGATTAATAGTTGATTTAATTTATTTAATTTCTATAATTTAAAATTGAAAAATTTCATCAAAAAGTTCATTATCTGAAAGAAAAAGTAAGATATATATATTATTTAAGGAAATAGCTTCATATCCTTTCCAGTTAAGTGCAATAGGAATGATGAAATAAGTTCCAACTTGAATTCATTTACACAAAACCGCTCCAACTAAATGAATATCTATGCCAATTCTGTTTCATTTGTAGTATAGGTAAATGAGAGTAATACCAACCCTACTATTTGCTAGATCATCATGACTTTCTGAAAATGCCTTCTTAGGGTTGGATTGGTCCGGTCTGGTCCAATAATCAGTCTAGTAATATTTATATATAAAATTATTCTTACAATTATAAATTTTTGCTATTAAATAATTGTTCAGTAATAAATTTTGCGGCATAACACTTATGTTCGATGGATTACCACTGAAACTATAAAACTATTAAATAAATCTTTAAAATCATAATAATATTATGGTTTGCATACACAAAGTTATATATCATATATGATGGACCGGTCTAGACTGATCCTCAGAATTAAGACTGAGGATCGTAAGGACCGGTCCTATTAACCAGTCTAAGACCGTTCTTTCCAGAACCGATCCAACCCTTATGCCTTTTTGTAATTATCCTTGCCAAAAAGAGATGTCATAAAAGTTCGTATGCATTGTGAATAATAAGCCCTAATCTCTTGACTTTTAAATCACTTGAGTTTGAAGACAATATTTTTCGATCCCAAGCAATTGTAAGAATTAGATGAACTATGAGCTCGCCCCTGTATCCTGGTTTCACATAACCGTTTTGCAGCGCAGTTTGTAACAATGACATGATTTTCCCTAGAACGTTCGAATTTTGCATAAGATGTGCCGCTGCTTCAGAGAGAATCGATTCTGATGGATACATAACCGTAAGTTGATAAGTTGATTCTAGTCCTCAGAAACGTGAAAGCAGATGCCAATGTATCCCGCTATAAGTTCCGAGGCGATGCAAGATTTTGGGTAAACGTTGACAGATATACGTAAAGTCAATATTGCGATTGCAGAAGTAATATTACTTTGTTAGATCCACATGTATGCCTATAGTAGTACCTCCAAGTAGCTTTTGCATTGATATTTGTAATAAATCCTCCAATCCAATTTAGCATTTAGTGCAGCACCCCATAAAGGTCGCCTAGTACTATTGTAAGCCCTATTCTAGATTTCCTTCGTTATTATTTCTTCTTCATTTTTGAACAAATCAAAGGTTGGGATGATATAAAATGGGGGAAACAATTTGCAAGGTAGACGTTGAACTCGAGATGTCGTAGAGGTTGGAATGGTTAATGTATAACCGGTTAATTACCTGGTCAAGACTTTATCTTGTTAACCGGTTAAAGATTTTTTAACCGGTTAAAATATTTAATTTTAACTCTGGCCAAAATTAATTTTCGGGTAGAATTAAATTTTTTGTGATTACAAAATTTCGATACCATTAATCGGTTAAGGATTTGAAGGCCAGTTCCAACCTCTAAGATGATGAATCCAAAGATGAAATTGGTGCAAAATTGAAAGTGTTGAAAGAGCATCCGTGACAGCTGCAAAAAACACTGTGTGGGTGGAATCGTAAGACTCTTCTGAAGTTTGGGAATTTTTTTTTAGTTTGTTTCACTCACTAAAGACCATGTCTCGTCAAATGTAAACACTAACTTTGCCATTGAATTTACTGATTGTGACAATTTGTCATAAATTATTACCCATCATTTGTTAATTTCACATGTACACAATTCCTCAATTATTTTGTAAGTTTTGTCCTTTAGGGATTTATTTAATTCTTTAGAATAACTGGATGCATTTTTCACAACTTCTTCACAAATTCGTCCCTCGTTGCATTGCGTTCCATTCTTGGATAGATTTATTTTCCAATAATTCTATGCAAGCACAAAGGAACGCAACTGTGTTGATCATCACGTTTCCATTCTGATGAAGCAAAAATGTTCGAGCGTACCGTAACCGGAGGAATGCCAGAACTATCCTGATCACGAAGACACACATGAGGAACATATCGATTCTCGGATAACTTCTGTAGGAGTTTCGACTTTCACATCCCTGAGGATTGATAACGATCCTTATATACAGTATCATAAAAAGACGACTTCATTAACTCTGATAATGATAATTTTTAGAATAAAATTAATAGAATCTATATACAGTATATTGTCATAACAAAAGAAAATGACATCTCACCAAATACTTCTATTTTCGCAGATAATATTTTTAAACTTGGATCTTTTGAAGTACTTATTGACCGAAATGAATAATGTATAGAAACACTTTTTATCGTAAAGTATAACTTAAAAGGTTTCATTTACCAGAATTGCCTACTCATTTTAAAAGAATTATCGAGAAGTTCCAAAACAGAAAGAGGCATGATAAAAAGGTAGAAAAATATTTAGTAACCGTTACAAAGAAATTTAGAAAGTTTCAAATAATTATCAAAGTTTCAAATTGTTATGCTTAATATTTCCTATAGTCTGTTGTAATAACTGCGTTGTTCGCCCTACTTACATTGTTGTATTTGATATAATTTAAGGATGTCTTCTTTTGAGGAGTTTTTGTTCAATAATTTTTGTTGAAAGTAAGATTTCCAAAGTTGAAGTAGTCGTCGTATGAACCTATGTTACCCTCTCTCTCTCTCTCTGGGAGTGAGTGAGAGAGAGAGAGAGAGAGACCTTACGAATGAAATTATTGTTTGATCGCTAAATAATTTGATTACGGTCGATCATTAACCTATTCAGCAATGTGTGACGAACAAGAAAACTCCATTACGAATACATAATAAATATTACGGAGTCTTTGCAAAAATTCTGGATTTGTAAAATTATAAATGATCAATCACAATATACTAAAACAGTAATTGATTTTTTTATCCAAAAATCGAATAAGATCGTTCGATAATAAGAAAACTAATATAATTAAAAATAATCAAACGAGGTAGATCAAGAAGAACCTTACGATTTTTCAAATATACTAATCGCTTCATCAGCAAAGTAAAATTTCCAAAAAATATCACACATTTCGGAAAAAAATGTTCTTAATCAACATAATTTATCGAAGTTAAACAAGTAAACCTATTTCATAAATCTATTGGGTATAAAAATTTCTAATTTGGATCTGAGCATTGGAAGGAAATTTCTTTCGACAATATAGTGTGTTGCACGCAGCTCTTAAAGTTAATATTTATAAACGAAAGGAGAAGGTAGCAGAAGGTTTTTAATTAAGCAAAAATGATGCAAGAATTATTTAGTAAATTTAATTAATCAAGTACTGCCTCAGCCGGAGTCAATTGTTCGAACTATGTATAGTATAGCTATTTGTTATAGCTTATAAGCTTTTATGTTATCATTAGAAATAATTCGTGATTCAAAATTTCCTGTGCTAATTTTGAAATGCTATGAAATTTCATGTAATATGGCGTGATCTAGGAAAATGACCGACTTATTATCTATTTAAGTAAATGATTGACAAATATTTTTAAAAAAGTAATATCCTTTAAGATAGTGAATACCTTGTTCCTTTACAACTCGATCATGATCTTCCATTTTATATTTAAATCCAAGAGAACAAGTTTTACTTAAGAACATTTTGACCAGTATTCGTCCTGCAGTCAACTTAATTTGAGACCTATGGTGATCTCCAAAATCATCAGCTGGGTAGATCGCTAATCAAATTAAGAAAACAATACAATCGGGATACGTTATTTTGTTTAACATCGTAACACTAGCGAAGTTGTGTAATCACAAAAAGTCAAATCTTAACAAAAATCAAATTTCAGCCTTGGCGATACTTTTGGGGTAAGTTACAATCTATAACTATAAATATTTTGTTTTAATATTCATCAATAATTATCCACTTCTTTGGTGAAGTAGTAACAATGGACAATTAAATTCATACATAGTTATGAATTCGACAAACTTGATATTAGTAAAGTTGCTGGTCTATAAGTTAACAAAAATTATTAAATTTGTAACAGTGTCTCAATCTGGTTCAATCATTTGAAAGTTCTGGAATCGACTACTCTTGATTTTTCAGCAAGAATGTTCAGTTTGATAATTTAATACCTAATAGAATTATAGACAAATGCTACGGAATAAATGCTCTTTAGAGCACGTGATGAACATAATTTCTTAATTTCAATTTCAAATGAAAACCAATTTCATTCGTCGCGTATATCGAATATTTAGGATTAAATTTTTTTTTTAAGTAAACAAATAATTTTTATATTTTTTACAATTAGAACAATAATCAATTTTTTTATTAACAGTTTAAGAAACCGCATGATTATCAAGAATGTGATTTCTAAACAAGTAATATTAAAAAAGTGCTACTCGAAGCAAAAATGAAATCATTCGTGTCTCAATGATGCTTTTACGCCAATCTTATTGTCAACGAATGTTGTACCAAAATTTTCATTACATAATAATAAAGAAGTCTTGCAACGCATGAATTGAAAGAAAATCTTTATTTTTAACCATTTGAGGCCATCATAAGATTACACTTCTAAAATTAATAATGGATCTAAGGCATTTTTTAGTGCTTATTCATAATAATAAATTAATAATTGAGGTATAAGATTTCTATATCTGCTTTGCCTTACATAAACTTTTTTTGTTATTGGTCTATAAATGGTGTTCAAATTTATCCAAAAAAACACGTAACAAACAATTATCAAGATTCGTCCTAAGAAAGATTTATGCAGCATTCAATAAGATTAGCTATTGTGGTTATTTGTCATAACCAACGCCTGTTGAAGACATGGAGAAGGTTGAAAGAGAGAATTAATTATTAAGTTTTTCCTCAAGACTTATTTAGAATTGTTTGCAGATCGAACTATCGAACTTTATATTTGATAATTTTGTTATGTACAGCAGTTGCTGCGTCATTCGAATCAACGATCATTGACTACAAGAGTACAGTGTGGAACAAAAAAAAACAGAATTTTTTAATTTCACATTACGCAAACTACACAAAATTTATATATTTTAAAACTGAAAACCAGCTTATTTGTTAATATATTTTTTAGTACAGAATTCGTTCACCATTATTTTCTATAATAAGCTCACATCGGCGTTTCATTGATCCTACTAGCCCGATTAGGGTCGATTCCAGAATATCATCCCATTCTTGAACCATAAAACGATGTAAACCATTAATATTTTTTGGCATTTTCTTTTCCACATTTCTTTTAACAATACTCCAATGGTTTTCTATTGGATTTAGGTCAGGACTGTTAGAAGGCCAGTCAATAACTTCAGGAACATTTTCTTAAAGAAATTTTTAGCATGTTTGCTGGTGTGCTTCAGATTATTGTCTTGCTGAAAACGCCATTCATCTCCCAACAAGTCTTTAATCTCTGAAATATGCATACGGAGTATATTTACATAAAATTCAGCATTCATTATTTGGGAAAACAATATAAACTTGTTTTTCCGTTTATGTAAAATCCTCCCCATGCAAAGATCTTCGTTCGATCTTTAGGCATAGGGCGTATCGGTCGATTTCCTTTATGCTAACGCTCCACAGTATTCCGGAAAAGTTGAAAGGCGGTCTTATCCGTAAACAAGGTATTGTCCCAATCATCATTAAGATGATTTTGGGCCCATTCCACTCGTTTACGCTTATGGTCTACGGTCAGCATCGGCGTTACTCTTAGAAGGCTCTTTTGATATCCAATTTCAGTCAAATGCCTACCTACCGTCCTATAAGACACATCCAAACCGTTCGAAGACAACCTTGTCGACAAGGATCTTGTTGAAACAGAAGAATCCCGGTGGATGAATTGGCCTAATGCTCTTGATGCATTAGCCTCAATCTTTTTTGGTCAGCCACTTCCTTCCATATGCTGAATCGTTCCAGATTGTTGAAGCTTGGTAAGGTTGTCATATACAGTGATGAGGGAAATATCATTTCGATTATGGATTTCTCTGGCATTTCTACTATTCTGATTCCATAATTGTAGGATGGCTTGATGATTGGTTTCTTGTTTGGAAGTCATCGTTTCTAATTAATACGATTTTAAAGGTTTTTTTAAAAATTGAAGATAGTAGGAGGGGGAAAAAATGTAAAGTTCTATTGTTAGTAGTATTAAAATAAAACTCGCTTACCTAACAATTACATTCGATTTAACATTATTCGGATTGACCTTAATTTGGCTGAGATCCGCATGCTTTTATTTCATAGAAAAAATTCCAGTTTTTTTTTGTCCCACACTGTAAGTGGTGAAACATTAAAGATCTACGTTACATAAATAACTACACTCTTGTTTTAATGTTTCACATACACTTTTCTTTTTTCCTTCTCTCTAAACAAAATAAAATATCTTGCGTCTTCCCTTCCGATTGCTTGAAGAAAATCTTTAAATATTTGTTAGACGAAGATTTGCGTTCATGCATATTAGTCAACCATTATTGGTGTGAAGTTGCTGTTCAAATATTATGGAGAAATATACAAAATTTTGATACTCTAATCACTTGTCTTCCCAATGAATCCAGAGAAATTTTATATAAGAATGAAATAATTAATTCAATCTCAACTTCAAGACTCCCAGCATTTAATTATATAACATTTATTAAGAGATTTTTGATTCATAATATTGATAGATTAATTAAAGCATTGCTTTTATATCCACAATGTCCACAATGGTCTTGCGAAAATAAAATGATGGTGTCATCACGAGAATTTTTTCAAATGTTTATGAAAAAAACCGCTTTGAAAAGTTTTTCTTTTTATTCTGGTTCAATATGCGATTCAAATCCACCATTTATATTGAAGGAAGATTGTTTAAGTAATCTGATCAAATTTAAGTGTAGTTTTGATATCAATTCTGATTTTTTTCATCAGTTATCTCTTATTTGTCACAATTTACATTGTCTAAAGATAATTTTTAATAATCTAGGCTCAAAAGAATTAGCAGAATTAATTTCCATTCAACAACACTTAAAATACTTGGAAGTGGAATATTTTGTCAAAATAAGATAGAAGTATGTCAATCGTTAACTAAATTACCTAATACATTAACTAAATTACATATTACTGAAGGATTTTGGAATCGAACAACATTATCATTCATTTCTAATCTCTCAAATTTATAAGAACTTTCATTATCTTCACATGAAAAAAAATGTATTGGAAGTTCTTCAAGATATTATCTTTCCCCAATTGCTAATTTTAAAATTTGATAGAAGTAGTCCATATGAAAAAAAACTAATCAAATTCTTGGAAAACAATGGAAAGAATTTAAAAGAATTATTTCTTAGCGAAAAAATTGATAGTATTAATGATTATTCATTATTAAATATAACCATAGCAACATTTTGTCCAAATCTGAAATCGTTGCGCACTTCACTTTCATCTGAGAGCAATGTAAATTTATTAACACTTATTTTAAAACATTGTAAGCAATTAGAATTCATTGAAATTATGTGTTATGACTCTTATGGAAGCTGGGAGCATAAAGTAATGGAAATCATTGTAGAATTTTCCCCTAAAAAATTTTATGAGTTAAATTCGGTTTTGGGAGTTGATGATAAACTGGATACATTATTTATAAAGGAATTAAAGTCTATCTTTGAAAGCTGGTCGAATCGAATGCCATGTATTCTACGTATTCTACGCAAATTGACAATGGTTACATATTCAGAATTCGAAAATGGCTTACGAGAAAGAAATGTCGAAATAATTAAAGAGCTTGAAAATATTGGCGTCATTAAAAAATTAATAAAAATTTAAATATTATCATTTGGTCAAATTAATAATGGATGATGAAGGTTAGTAGTGCAAAATTAGTTATAAATATATGCTTGAAACCAATATTCCTTACCAAATTTCTATCCCTAAAAAGACTATTACGTTTTTTATTTTTTTTAGTTATTTATAATAATTTAGCTTGTGAGATTATAGTGGCTTTCAATTCACTTTAGGTGAACTGGTTCTTAAAAAGTGATCAGTATAACCAGTTTAAAGTTTAATTTACGCACCTACGTACATACCATTATAATTTTTTATAAATTTATTGACATTATATTCGCAATAATTATATAAATTATAATAAAATATTTAAATCATTTGCTTTAGAAATTTATCCTTTAATGAATAAATAGTAAATAAACATTGCTTTTTATTCGAAATATTCATTATCACTTACAATTCTTTTCAAATTCATTTTTTACATTTGAATGTTTAATTTTTTCGTTTAAATATGCATAAAACTGTCATTAATTAATATTACTTGAATAATTTTATGATATTATTGTTAATTAGGTTATTATCAAGATTTCTTTTGCCTTTTTAATAAATTTACAAAATTATTAATATTAATATAAAAATTACTAATAAAATTCAGACACCTTTAGGTACAAAAAAAATTCACAATTTGATTTTAAAAATGTTGTTACTAGTTACAATCAGTTCTGACATTTCTTACTCAACTGTCAGATCAGTCATTACATCTTTATTTAACATATAGAAGAGAAGGAATTGTCACGTATAATTTCTAGAATTATATAAATAAATTTCATTTCGCTTTATGTCTAGTAAAAAAGAATTAGTTTTAGATTTGCTAAGGCATATTAGAAAGTGCTGGTTGGAACAATAACTAATTACCTACTAATAGAAATAGAACGAGTTTTGACGGACTATTATCGAAATTATAATAAATCAAATTTGGTATTGAATTTTGATAATTTTACTAATAAGATTTCTCTAACTAATCTCTTCTCGTGCTATAATAATAAATTAGGTTCATTAAATTTGTCACATTACAAGAAATCAAATGAATTATCGAAGAATATACAGATTATTCGAAATTGATGAAGTATCTATTGTTAAATTATCTGAAAATAAGAATAGATATAGTTTGTTAAATTTACTGTTTAGTTAGTCTGCATTAATATCTAATATTAACTTTAATGGTTATCTAATTAGAAATATTACTCGTAATTATTATGATAATTGATTCAAGGCATTTAATATTTAAACTATTTTACTTTTAATATTTTCAAAAAAGATGATAAAACCACTAATGCATTAAAAATAATTAAAAAAATTGAAACGATATGAAAATTTAGCTAAATATTTTTTGCAGATTATTATTATAAAGTAAAGTAGATGCAGATTTGCATATTTTCTTTGTAAGCGAAATTTGATTTCTCACCAAATTCCTCCACTTCTGCTCGCATTAGCGACTAGTATAACTTCCATTATAGCGTCTATTTATTCTCCGAGAAACGCTTTACCAAAATCCTTGTTCCCTCAGAATAAATAGGAAGGAGAAAAACCGGTTGCGCCGCCTCCTCTCATCTACTAATTATTCTGTTTCTACATCTCCCAAAAGATTCTTGCTGCCATTTTTTATAATTATTTGTATGTAAAATAATTAAATGTTATGCAGAATGATTTGAATCGAGTATGTATTATAAGTATAAAAATGTGAAAAATTAAATGATGGTAAAATTTTTTGTAAAATAAGTCTACATTTATATTAACTAAAAAAACACTATTTTAGAGTTTCCTCCCTTACTACTACAATGTGGTCGGCAATTAAAATCACCTTACGAATCATATGGTATGGTTTACTATATTCCAAACTCCATAGAATAGATAGAACATACTGTTTTTGAATATAGAAAAGCAGGTTGTCAAATACATATTTATAAATTACAAAAAACTCAGTAATTTGTATCAAATTTGTTCAGTTAAACAAAAATTTACCTCAAAACATAATTAGAAACAATGTTTCTATTCTAGATCTCGACAGTATTATGGAATAAATCACTAGGCTCAGATTATTGTTGATATGTTATGACAAAAAGTTTGCAAAGTAAGTTATTTTAAAAACATGAATTTCGTGGTTATTAATAAATACATATGATTTATACAAAAAAAAAAAATATTTGATTTATGTTGTTAGTTATTATAGAAAGTTTGAAAAATAAATTTTTTTAAAAGAAAATTTGTAAAAATTTCGTGGTTATAAATAAAAAAATCTGTTACTCTTGAATACACTCTAATTGTTATATTTTTTGTATAATAATTTTTATTGTCGATTAAAGAAAAGTTTATTAAATGACGAACCACAAAGACTCTTTACTTCTTATAGTTAATGAAGTTTATATATCAAATAACCAAATCTAAATGAAATAATGACATTTTAACATTATTATTCAAAATAGTAGATTGCAGCAAACAAAAAAATACTTTTGTTACACTTTTAATTATTATAATGAATCATCCCTACTTGTGAACATAACAAATTGCTTAACAAAGTGAATACGAAATAAGGCCATTTGAGACTGCATTTAGTTTAGTAATAACTTGTGCATCATTCTTATTAGAGTACATTCCGCAAGGGTCAAACATATAATTCTGACAAAAATACCGTTTACCATATTCGAAAAGAGATTATTATTAGCTTAAATATTTACGTAGATTTTTCCTTTTATAGAATATGTCGCTCGAATTGTGCCTGAAAAAAATGCGTAACAACTTATAGTAAATTTTTTGCTGTTTTAATTAAAGATTTAAATGATATTTGTAAATTGCGTAGTGTTATTGAAACAAAATATTAATATTTTAGTATTTATATCGTGAAGATTAGTTTCGAACAGTATCTGAGGGTTTAGAAATTATTGGTTTTATATTTGAGTTTCACCTTAGTTACAGAGTTTAGGATAATGTTCATCAAATCCGAAATGTTTAGGATTGGAAAAGCGAAACATTAATCATCCGTAAAAAAAATTAATTCAAACCAATTCTTTATGAGGGTTTATTAAAAGATACTTTCAGATGTTGAAATAAAAACCTTCTGAAAATATTTATGTAATACTTATTATGGAAAATGTGTTACGAAAATAATGGTAATTTCATTAATCATAAGTTGGATTGATAATGTAAAAATATAATAATTTTTTTATCTGGGAAATGTTATGTTTGACCTTATGAATTAAATTGGTATTCGAGGGAGTAGAGGTGGGTTCACTTTCCTAAAATTACTGAGTTTTCATGAAGTTATGTGATAACGTCTCTTTATCAAAATCAAAAGAAGTGATGAGATCTTTGGTGGATCTAATTATGTTAAATGGCATCTTATAGTTGATGGTGGCTCAGTATCAGTAGAGATTTGATTCCATAATGTAAAGATCGTGGTTTAAAGGATATTTCTTTTTAGTAACGTAAAAGATAAAGATTATGTGTGGGATTGTCAGGTTTTCGTAAAGTTTTATGCAACTGATGAAGATTATCAACACATTCTTTTCAAAAAAAGCTTTTATGAAAGAGATAAGGGATCCTTAAGATTAAAGTATTCCAAAATTAAGAGATCAAATAAGCAAGATTATTATTATAACAATGAAATCAGTTTAGTTATTAAACAATTATTTAAACATCAAAATATGGCATAAGTTATTTCTAATATTTTTCAGTCATTATAGTAATCGTGATACATTTTAAAGTTGCTATTTTTATTTTGTAAGCCTAACATTTATATTCATTCAAATCCTTGTTATTAATTATTAATTGTTTTTTTTAAATAAAAATTTAGTTGCGTTTGAATTACAGAAAAAGTAAAATTAAATACTAATAATCAACTTACCTCCTTTAATAATATTTTTGTTTTTTTAAATAAAAATTTAGTTGAGTATAAATTACAGTAAAGTATAATTATATATTGATAATTAATAAAAATAACTTACTCCCTATATTATTTTTTATCGTTATTATTAGATATTTTTTAAGTTTAATTATAAATTTTAAAGTAATAGACAATTAAATAACTAACAAGCATCATTAAAATTTTTTTAATAACAATAAAAAATTAATTTTTAAATATTATATAAATTATCAAATAAATGAACGTATATTACCATTTAATACTTGCAAAGTAGGAACATCAGGAGTATCTGAAACTGGCTCTATCATCATATATTTATGTTTAAAAAATTTTTTGAATTAAATATTAAATATTATAGCTCAATATAGAAAGTATGTAATAGTTATTTGCCGCGAAATCAGAGATATCATCAGGGATCACGGCTCCGCCGTCTGTGATATCGGCTATTGAGCGGTAAATAACTAATATATTTCATAGTTACTAACGCCCATGATAAAAAATGATTTCGAAATAAATATATCATGTTTTATTAACTTTATCAATAAATATACTTTTAAAAATTAAAACGAAACTATATAATAATAAACAATTATAACTGTAAAGCATTATTGAACTAGAAAAAGCAATTTCAATTATCAAAAAATAATTAAAGTGCTCAAAATACAGAAAAAGCAACGAAAAATGGCTAGAACATTTTGAAAATTTTCGAAAAAATATGACTGTTTTTTATCCACAAGAGGAGATATCAAATTCGATTAATTACAGTACTTATTCATATTAGAAAGTCAAATGGCTGCTACTAAAAAAAAGAGTGATTGAATATATAGCAATTTAAATTATTTAACGAATGTCATTATCAAAATGAAGTGTTATATTAATTAGAATTATAATAATTTTAACACTATGCAATATTAAATAAATTCATTGATAAATAATTTCCAGTACGATTTTCAAATGATATATCCTGGTAATGACGAAACATTGATATTTTCCTGGAAAATTCAACTCCGATAATAAGTCCAGTAAAATATCGATGTGTAGTATCATGGGCAAATGATTAGTAAACGGGTTCTTTACCTTCTATTTCTCCTAACGTTTCAGATTTTCAGGACAAAATTAAGTA